ACTTAAAATTTGAGCCATTCCAGAAGCAGGTCTAGATTGCCTTTGGATTTGCTAGGATCCCGTCTTCCTTCCAAACTGCTTCATACGGCCTTGAAAACGCATGTCAAGACTCGTGCAAACACTTACCCTTTATACGGGCGTACCTGCCAGGTGTCGGATGAGGCGGCCCTCACCCGCATCAAGGAAGAGGAATGGGAGATCACTGAGGCGCTAAAAGAAAAAGCATGAAAAAACATGTTTAGCATCACCATCAGCACCCAAAATCGGTGTTCGCATCAAAATCAGCACCCAAAAAGGGGCTCGTTGGACACACCAGGATGTTCGAGTCTTGTGCGAGGCTTCTTTTTGGGTGTGGAGTCTTAGACGGGGTCCAGGGGGCCCAGAGGGGGCCCAGAAAAAACAGCAGCAGATCTCAGTCTGCTGGGGCTCGCCACACCTGTACCATCCTGTACCTCTCCGACTCTCGAAGGTGACCGGCGAGCCGAGCAGCGCGGCCCAGCTGAGCGCGAAGGATCAGGAGCTCGTGGAGTTCCGAGCCAACGCCAGCCAGTGACCTGGCAGCGGTGACATCACCTGCTGGAATCAGGGTGGAATCGGATGGAATCGGTCCACCATCGGTGAAGTCTATAGAATGCTGTAGTCCGGGGTCCGGCGTAGAACCACGGTGTGGGTGGTGAGCGAACGCTGCTGCGGGGCGGAACCGACAGCTCGGGGGCATCCAGTGGATTTGGCAGACAGCCACTAGAATAAGGAACCGGATTTTCGTATGTTGATGTAAGTTTTTCTGGAACCACTGACTACCAGCATAGTATGAGTGGATGCCCTGGGAATGGTTGAATCTGGCTGGGTTGCTTAGTGGTTAAGCTTTTCAGTCAGTGAACTTGTCATGCTCCTTGACGATGCTGAATTCCCTTGCCAAAGGGCCACTGGAAAACAAACCGCCTGGGCCAAATTTCCGGTGATCCCCTGTCCAGTCCTACCGAACCTCAGGTACTGTGATGTGTTCGAGAGACATGCGCCAGGAGGGTCCAGTCGTACCGAACCTGAGAGGGTACGACTGGATCCCATAGGGTTTCGTTTCACCTCTCCGTCGTCCCTCCGAGGCGCCGCTGGCTGGTCTCGGCCGATCTGTCCGAGAACCAGCTGCCCAACACGGCGGCGATCGCGGGACCCCTGCGGCTCGGTAGGGGTTGGGGAGGCAGACTCCATGGTACTGGAAAGTGCGGGTTCTTCTTTGTTGGTGTGGCGGGGGTCACTGGGTAATACTAGGTAGGTAGGTACTAGGTAGGTCTGGTCACTCTCTAATGTGTAGAGTGTTTCTCCCCCCATCTGGGATGGGGCCTCTCTCGATTTCGGAATGGGACCTTCTCCTTGCCGGGAGGTCTAGGCTATTGTTGATTTTTGTTGGAACTCACTGCGGTCTTCAGCACTTCATCGCTGCGGGATGTCCCATGATGGCTGCGGATCTTTTCTTCCGGTCCAGCGTGTGCGCTTGTTTTCCCAGGGGCTTAGCCATGGCTCGCAGGCAGTGGTGGGAAAAGACACAAATCACATTCAATTAGACAAGTGACAAGTGGCCTGGACGCTGTATCGATGCCTCAGGTGGTTGAGGCATTTGAATTTGGGGATGAATCCGTTGGAGTCTTTGGACGGCCTGGGCAGCTCCTTTCCAAGGCCTCGCCAGTGATTCGAACACGCGGAAAACGCGGAGGGTGTCGCAGAGGTTGGGTCATTGGTGGCCCCGTTGTTCCAAAATGAAGACTATACTATAAGCAATATCTCATGAAACTGTTGTTTGGGGCAGGACTCCAAAGATTATTCGATAGTCAAAGGGGATGGAGAGGGATGCAGCAGCCCAGAATGAACAGGGGAATCAGTACCCAAAACAAGGAGCAAGCTTTGGGACGTGTTCAAACCTACAGAAGGGATGGCAGGAGATTCGTGAGAGAATGCCGGTGGCTTCTCCGATGCGTTCCGATCGAAGTTGTCGGAACATGTCGTAGCTTATTTGGGTGGTTGTTCTCAGAGATTGTTATGTTCAACCTCTATACCAGCACCCTCCAACAGGTCACCAATTGAAACCTGTTAGGGCCCTTCCCAACCCTCCATTTCGGAGACCTGTTGGGTTCGGTGCTGGTACTTGGGACGATTGAACCTACTGACTCATGTTTTTGTTCAACTGAATTGAGACCACCAACCATTTGGGATTGGAGGGGTGCCGGAGTCGAGTCTTGTCGGTGCTTCATTTTTCTTTCATCGGTTTCATCCAACAACGGCATGTGTGACTTAGTCCGACTAGCCTTCCGTTCAGCCATATAGTTTACCTGCAAAATCCTTAAGAAAACAATTGTTTTTCGGTAAAGTCTCTTGAATTAATGGTGGTTGGAATTCAAGGTTATTTAATTTGCATCTCCTGTCTTACCAACTGGGTGCAGCCCACATGGCATGCGTCCTGCTGGTCATTTTGCGGTTCGTTTGAGTCCGGTCTTCGAAAGCGCTGAGTGTGGCCGCCCTGGCCTTCACACAGGTTGCTGGTGTTGGATGTCAGCTTCAACGAGCTGGGCGCCATGGATGGCGCTTGGAAGGCCCTGGCCGCGATTCCCAAGCCACTCAGCAACCAAGTGACGAGCCCAAGGGCTTTCGCTGACTGTTTTGAACAGAGTTCACGTGGGACCCGTTGGACCCGCATGTTGGGCCTCCAATCGCGAGTGGACGAGCGGTGTGGAGTGGAATCCAGTGGTTTGCCCGAGATTTCGGGGAGCGGACCTGGTCATCATCAGGCCTACTGTAACTCTACAAAGGGAGAGGAGGGATGGAATTCGACACCTTTAGGAGGACATCAGCCTACCAAGCTTGAGCAGCTGAAGTCTTGAAGCGAAGCTCCGCAGAGGCAGAGAGTGCGACCAAAGTTGCAGCGGTGTGCAAGAACGACACGTCCAAGTTAGGGTGCTTCTAGTGTACTTTTCGAAGGAAGAACCGGCCCCATGGTGACACCAATTTGTATGAATCGATTTATACATCTTCACACCACTTGATTGAGGTGATGTTGAACCATGTTGAACCAAATGCCTGTGACTTGTAACAGGTCCTTGTCACATTGGGTGACTTCATGTGACTTCCAAAATAGCTCCAGCTTCCTCGCTCCAGCGTTCCTCGCTCCGCTTCAGGCTTCAACGCTTGGTGGCCGAGGGCTGCCGCATCCAGAGCTTCGAGGAGCTCCAGGAGATGCCCCAGTTGCGCACCTTAGCACCTTGGCCAGTGAGAAGACGAAAGACCCGATTGACGAGATCAGTGGGTTAGTCATCCTTGGCGGAGGGCCTGTCGCCTTGCAGGCGTCTTCACGCGTAACCCGCGGTTCTGAACGCGGGTTCTTGCGCGTCTTCTCCTTCCATCTCCTACCAAAAAAGACGCCTGTCCGAACCCGAAGAAGCGCCCGAGATGTGTCAAGACCGAACCTGGTCCATCATCCTTCGCCCACCCGAAGACATCTTCGATCCCGAATGAACCGCTCCGCGTCAGTTCGAAGACGACCGAGCCGTTGGGATCGATCGATTGGTCGGATCGGGGGAGGGAGGGATGAACCCACTCCGACGGGTGCAGCGGCGAAGAACCGAAGAACCGGCTTGAGCGAAGGTCTGGACCGGGGACACCCAAAAAGGCCCGAAACCGAGGGGACCGAGGTCGATACACTCGGTCTTGATGCCGATCCCTTGGACGGTGTAGATGTTAACAGGGCCCCTGGTACCTACAGAGGTTAAGTGACCTGAACTAGGACCCTACAGGGGTACCTATAGGATAGTCTATAGGGTTCTTCAACCTCTGCTGGTAGGCTGGCATTTGGCTTGTGTTTGATGCTGCATGTTCCATAGTCGATCCATCTACAGAACGGTAGTGCGAGCTGCCTATTCAGATGTTCAGATGTGGGTCTCAAGATCGTTTGCGTCTTGGGCCGTCTTTTGGCGTTTCCTGACATGTGTCAGGCATGAATGGTTTCAAAACAGGAACATGGATGCAGCTGGATAGTTGAAGTGGGTCCTTGACCCCTGCAAGTTGCAATGGAATTAGACCATGGCCCATCGAACCAGCCTCCAACACCCCATCGACCCTGTGAGGAAGTCAGCGACAACGCCGCCCGGATGGTACCAGCGCTCGCGTGGGGGACTATTATGCGGGGGAAGCCAAAAATGGACCAGGAGTCACATTGGAGTTGGGTGGTTTTGGGTCCCCGTGAGCTGTGAGTGGATGTGACATGACGTTCGGGGCACCTGCACTCCTTCCTCCGGAACCGGAACCGGCACCCCTTACGCATCCCCGAGCTCTGGTCACTCCTGGGGGGTGATCACTTGTGAACATGGATGCATTTGGGCCACGCTCGGATGGTACAACACTGTACACCATCACTTAGAATCACTGTTCGATCCTGGAGGTGCAACGTTGGTGCCAATCTGGCACGTTCTGATTGAACATCCAGGTAGCGGTTCGGACTTCCAAGATCAGCTGACAAACTAGGCAGAGGAAAGACTTGGCAAGTCAGTCTCTTAGAGGCCTTGGCACTTGCCACAAAGGCCAGAAGGCTAAGTCTAAGTCCTAAAAGGCTTGGTTTCTCAGCAGTGAATTGGTGGAAAGACGTCACAGAGCCACAGATGAGTCAGTTTGATAGCCTCCCCAAAACGAAATTTGCAACCTATTTCGAAGAATGAAGAAGTTGTGTGCTTTATTTCTACCGGACTGTAGTTGGCGGTGTGTCCCACATTGGCAATCACACCAATTCGGTTCCCAGTGCCCAACCTAAAGATCCATCTATAACCATATATACCTCCATCTTCCCATATCTTCCCAGCTTTGACCCCCGAGCCCACCTTTTTATGGCTGCCTTTGTTGGGTGTTGCCCCCCTTCACCGTCTCCGGTCTCAAAACGAAAAACGACGCGAAAAACGTCGGTCGTCGGCGTTTCCGGCGGGTTTACCGGCCGACGGCTTTGGGCAGTTGCTGGAAGACCTCGAAGAGTTGGACGTCTTGGCTGGAAAGTGCACCTCCCTGGTGGAGCTCGACTTCAGCACCTTGGACCACCTGATGGTGCCGCCAAGTTGTTGGGCAGGATGGATGGTGATGGATGGTTTGCGGTGCAACAAACGAAAACATCCATCTTAGCGGGCTGATATAGGCTGATCAAAAGAAACAACAGTGGTTCTTCTGGGTCGTCGTGCTGAAACACAGCATTTGGCGCTGGGATTGGAGGTGTGGGAATGTTGAACGGGCAGCTTAGCAAGATATACATATATCTCATGATATACTACCTCCTTAAAACTAGGCTTCCTGGCCCACCATTGATTTAGTGGTTCTTACCGAACAACCATTGTTTCATATGGTTTACTAACTGCAAGAACAGGCCAACCATTTTGTGAATGGTCGATCGGAAGGCAAACGGACAAAAGAGTGCAGTTTCTGAAAGAAAGGGAAAAGGTCATTCTGATTCCCTCGGCACCTGGATCAGATGCCAAATCTATCCAAACGACCCATGTATAATAACCTACAGCCGCCACCAAAACCGCCAAAACACACCAAATGTCGGCCATATTGATCGTCTGGGAATGATCACTGTTTGCGGCCCCCCCACCCTGTAACAGTCCGGAATCAGTCGGCCACTTCTTTCCCACGGAGTCGGTTTTGGAGAACATGTTTTCAGTGTAAGCCCTGCTGCGTTTGTCCGTCCTTCTTTCCGAGAGTCAATATATCATCGTGTCCCCAAAGCAAAAACTTATGCGCATGGATCTAACTGGCTGACAAGGGCTTCCTTTGTATATTCGATGACTTTCCTTGCTACCCCTCGAAGTCCTTGCGGAGTGAAAATCGGCATGTCCAGCAAGTTGAGGAGAGAACGAAGCTTGGGAAAAGCCCGGATACGCCAAGAAGATTGACCAGCTTTTTCCCAATCTCACTTGGCCTCTTGGCACTTCATCCGGAGCCCGGTCAGAGAGGGTCGGACCGAAGGTTGATGGACTTCCCAGTCAAAGACGACCAACCTGGACCCGACTTCACAGGTGTTTCCTGCATGGTGACAAGTCCAGTGCCCAGTTTCACCACCTGTGGTCGGGTCTCCATCTCCAGCCTGGCCAGGAGGGTCCTGGAAAAGAAGGGTCTGACGAGTTTGGGGCCATGAGTTAGGGAGCTGACTGAAGAATCGGTCAAAGTGGGTGGGAGCTTACTGAAGAATCGGTCAAAGTGGGTCACCTACCAAACCTTGTTGGGGCGATTGGAGACACCTCAGACACCTTACTCAAAAAGAAAATAGGTGGAAAAAGGCTCAGGGAAAAGTGAGGGAGTCAGTTAGAAGCTTCACCTATTGACTGTTGGTGTGTGAAACTCCTATAGACGTGACCATTTGGGCCGCCCATCGCCTAAGGCTGGACAACCAGTCGCGGAAGAAGTATGTGTCGGATGCCAAGAGGGGTGGAGGCCTATGGCATCTCCCGGACACGACTGGTGGGACGGCCATATTTGCCTCAATATACATTGGGGGTGCTTTGAGGGGTTCAAAGGGGCGGCATATATTCCAGTCCCAGGTCGTGTTTGGGTGTTGATGCCAAAGGCGCAGGGGGCCACTGAGCTCTTCTCATGTTGGCTGCTGGAAAAGCGATTGGCGTGGGGAAGTGCAGATGTACTCGCACATGCAGTAATTACATACTACATCATACTACGGTTGCTACACAGTTGCTACACACTGCAGATAGGACACGCGCTTTTCTTGAAAACTCGTAGCATTCTTGCTCCGAACTCGAGTCGCGATGCCCTGAGGAATCCGTTCGTAGCTTCTTGTTCCGTTCGCAGCCAATGCGTTCGGAGCGGCCCGTTCGGTTCGCGGCCCGTTCGGTTCGGTTCGGTTCCCGAGGGCGAAAGGAGCGGAGGCCACCTACTCGGCCGAGACCATGCGCGAGAAGGAGGTCGCGGCGGTGGATGGTGCCTCGAACGGTGGTTTGAAGGGCGGTTTAAAGCAGGGGGGGCAGATGGGTGCAGCGGGGTGGGGTGATGAGGTGTTGATATTTTGTGACTTACAGAAATCAGCAGGCTTGCATGTACGGGGCGGAACGGCTGAAAGGATGGTAAATGTCAAACTTGAGCATGGAAGAACTTAATATAAGTGCATGACTGCTAGTAGCAAGAAGCTACTAGTAACAAGGTGCATCGCTACCAGGAACAAGTGCACTAGTAGCAAATAGCTATACTAGTAGCTTCTTGTTACTAGTAGTAATGCACTTGTTACTAGTAGCTTACACTGTATCTTTCCACCTTTGGGCCTTCCGCACTTCCAAGTCCAGTCGACTTGGTAACTTGCCCAAGGTATGTTCAAGAATGAGTCCTGCTCTTGCATTGAAGGCCGGTGTCGTGGGGCAGGCGCCGTCCGACTTGCGATCCGTTGGGGGTGAATACATCAGAAGTTCGAAGAAAGAAGACCCACCTGGGCCAGGACGGGGCAAGAATGGGGAGAATGGATAGCAGCACCTCCCTCAGTCCTTTTGAAGGTTTAGTTCTGTTTGTCAAGCTCTTCAAACCATTTATATACTACCTCATTAAGAACAGCCAGATGTGCACCCAGCTGACCGCAACTCGCCCCACCGGATTGCCAGACGTCGTTTCAGGCAACCCGTGCCTGGACCGAGCGACCTGCAAAGACTGGGCCAACCGCGAGAAGGCATCGGCCTGGCAGGGTTGCAAGGGCCAGTTCTGAGTTCTGCGTCGCACGGCCACTGCATTCGGCCCTGGATCGCACCTCTAAAATGCCCTTTTGAGCGAAGGGGTGCAGATTCCAAGATGGTCCAAACTGAGCATAGCCACCCTCATGAGGGAACTCACGAGTTTCCCGGGTGACATCAATCTGAATCGACACTGGGGTTGTAGGGTGTGCCATCTAGTCGGAATCTGCAGAAGCACTTCTGTTTGGGATCAATTGTCAGTCCATCAAGGACCATGAGGCAAAACCTCTTCAGCTCGATTCTTGCGGTTGGGAAGCTCTCGTCTCGACTTAGAATCCGGTGAACCCACAGCAGACTTCCTACCCCAGGAAAAGTGGGTCACCATGGGTAACCATGGGCAACCTTCCACTGTTTGCTACTAACTAGTAGTACGGCCAGGAGCCCCGTTCGTAGCGTCCTTGTTCCTACCCCCCCCATTGTTCAGCCAGAACTTGGCTCCAGTTCCTTCCTTCCTCCGATGTTCCATGCCCCATGCCCATCCCGACCCCCTGCAAGCCGAATGAGCCTTGGAATGGGCTTCTCTCGCAGAAATGCCAGCGCCAAGGGAATCTGGAAGAGGTTGAAAAGGCTCACTAGTAGGTATTTTGATGTATTTTGAGAAATTGAGCCAGCAGTTCCAGGTCGGATTGGTGTTCAATCCCATCCGCCAATGGGCATGTTGTAGTACGTTTGGCGCACCTTTCTCTCAGACAATGTGGCGCGCACTCAAAAGTATGCAGGTGGCAGCCGAAGCTCGCAAGAAGAAGGGCTTACGAGATGATACAGGCCCGCTGGGGGATAGGTAGATCGCTGTTGGATTGACCTGTAACTGTTAAACATCACATCAGATTCTTTGGGTTTCGGTGGCCCCTCCAAATTTGCCCCCTCCTTGGCATCATATTTGCCATGCACACCAAAAGGAATCCAGCGCGAATGGAACCCCAAAATCAGCATCTATGCCTATCCGTACAGGGCTCCAGTCGTAACCGAACCTGAGGTTCAGTGGGACTGGAGGCCGGGTGCCATCTTCGGGTCCAGTCATCACTTCGTTTCGGTTTCCGCAACCTCCTGGAGCCCGACAGGGCGGAGCCGCGTTTGAGATCACGCGATCACGCGGATCACGTCGAAGAATCGGGGGTCACCTCCGGTCCGAATGCGGGGCGTGTGGTCCAAAAAGACGCGCTGGACCGGCCTGGCTTTGTAGTGCAAAATCCTTTGTGTAAGTAGTGCAAAATCCTTTGTAAATGGTTCTTCAGGGAGAACGGTGGACCTGGCTTTTGCTAGTACAAAAACTAAACATGCGTCTTTTTTGGGCAAAGGATGTTGGAACAATGGTTGTTGGAATCGCAGGGTTAGCTATCGTCTTAAAGTAGCACTTGCCACTTGAGCTGATCGCGCACTTCTCGACGGGTCTTATCCTAGAGCTGCACCTTTGCCAGGCAAGATCCTCTGACGCGTGAAGAACACGCCAAAGGCGAATTCACGCAGGTTCGTGGGGCATGAGCAGGCACAGGTCCAAGCGGGTCAACAGGCGCTCGAAAGAAAAATCAAGTTTGCCAGAGGCTTCAAGTTCCAGGACCACGAGTTCGGGTGGTTGATGGACACCCCTGATGGACTGCATTTTTCAGTCTAATTAGCACCCGGTCACCACCCCTTCCGTGGTCCTGGTTTGCATTGGCACCGATTTGCACGGAGGTGTTGACACTGGATGTGCCCCTCATGTCTTCGGCCGCGATGGGCGCTGATCGGTTTCAAGGATCAGCGAAAAACCTGGTCGGGGCACTTTGCCGGGCAGCTAGCGATGGTTCATGGGCCCCTGCTTTGAAGATGTGGACAGGTTGGATCATTTGAGACGTTCGGTGAAGCAAAGAAGAGTGAGTCATATGGTTGACAGGCTGTCCCCTGATCGCTGGAGCTGAGCTGCATGTGCCGGTTTCACACCTTAGGTTTTCAAGGGATTCACCTCGAGGTGACCTGCAACAACTTGATCGTCAACATGCATCAATCAATATATCAATCTGATGGGTTGCTGGGCTCTCCAAGATGGGGGTTTCGACCCCTACAGTGCAACACCAAGAATGGGTGGCGAGCACCCAAGAAACTCACAAGTGAGGGTCTTCAAAGAGTGGAGATATTAGATGACCACATGATTTGAACATGCTCCACACCCCCTCGGATAAACCAACCTACGTAATTCATTTTGTTCCGATCAAAACGGAGGTCAACGCTTGGACTGCTTAGAGTCCCGGGGTGGTGTCCAAAGCGTTTCAACACTGTCTGACTCAAGTGGAGCCAGCTTCGTCACCGGCCAGCTTCGCACGGGCCGAGAAATGTGCGAACGATCATGAGAACATCATTGGATCGTTGGGGAGAGGCTCTCGTTGGGGAACGCTGGAAAGTTGCTGGGATGAGTTGAGGAGCTGGAAGGCGTTGTGAAAGAATTCCCCCGGTGGTGTCCAACTTGGAAGGCTCTTGGGGGCTTTTAGCCGATGTTTGTCCGTCGCAGACAGTCTGACAAACAGGCGTGCTTCGCCTCCCAGCTTGCAGGGTCAGGGCTTAGGAGGCTTGAAAACTTGACACGCAGCGGAAAAACTCTGCCGCCTTTCTAGCTGATTTTGGAAGAACTCTTCAATGGAACAAGTGGGGAGTGTTTGTTTTGTGCACCCCGCTTCTTTATTGTGCAAAGTGCGGTCCAGCCAATGACGTCCCACTGAAGTGGGCGAGTTTCCTTGAGTAAGTCCTTGGTCTCAGCAGGAGAGAACATATGGATGCCCTGTCATTTGCATAGTGAGCATCGCCTCATACCCCTCATTCAGTGGTGCATAGCTTTCCCTACAAGTCAATGACCTCATTTTACTGGAGTTGGTCATACAAAAAACACCATTCAAGAAGGTAAAGGAATAGGTTTGACTGGGTCAGACTGGACTTGTTGGGTTTGGTATCGGGCAAAGGGATCATCGAGAGTCCCATCTTCCATGAGGATTTCAGGGAGTCTTTCCCCGGCTGATGTTCCAGTGGAGTGCCGAGCGAACCACGAGGCGAACGAGTGCATTGATGAGTAAAAGTAAAATTAGTAAAAGAAAAACTCCAGGAGATGCTTGGCCATCTGCTAGGTATAGGTCGATTCACATGAATCAAGAATCAGCATTACCAGGGCTGCCTCAGATGCTCGGGCACCAGGGAAAGCGCCCCGTCCCCACTACCCCCTAGACCTCTCCTGGCCTGTGAGACTGGTGGAGCCATGTGGAGCCTCCCAGGTCCCTGCAAATACCGCGGGGGCGGACGCCGGGACATCGGCGACGTGCGCGACCCCGGCGACAGACCGGACCGGACCGGTTCCGTCGCGGGACGCAGCACTGGACCGGTTCGACGGAGGGTCTGACGAGGTCACCTGGGTCGGTTTTGGTCGGTGTGGTGCGCCTGGAGCGAAGCCGTAGAGTCCAACGTTTGGGAAGGCCAGTGGAAAACGCGCGCCAAAAAAAACAGTTCAACACATTCACCTGTCCATGGATGTCCATGGGCGTCAACACAGTCACACCAGGTCTAATGAGCGGACGGACTTGCGGTCGGAGAGCCTCCGGTAGTGCCTCCGGTTCTTGGGTCCGTCGGCATATGGCTTACACTCCCGAAAACTAAAATAGACCCTGACAATGGTCCCATGGAAGACTATTTTCCTCTACCAACCAGGGGTTTTCAGGTTCCATGTTAGTCTTCCAGAGTGTATTATGGCTTCCATGTGTTACATCAACTGATGCGCAGCATTCGGCACTGCAGCACCAATCAGGAATGAAGCTAGATGAGCAGTCGGCTCATTGAGCCTAAACCCATGCTTGACTCCTTGATGCCTGTGGCACTTCCTAACTGCCCTTGAGATCCCTTGAGTATTTGCCTATGAATCTGGTGGGGTTGACCCCCCTATAATATAGGAGGGCATGCCTTTTTCGACAAGAGGAGATTGATTTTTGGTCAACTTTGTATGAGTTTTGATTCTTGCAGGATAATGAAAGCTACATAAAAGCCAGGAAGCTTGGGATAATCCAGTTCACCCAAGATTTATATAATAGTTTTGGTGAGAAGGGAAGTTCCAAACTTGTATTGCTGGATTCACGTTACCACGTTGCAGCTGTCTTCGCTGCACTTCGGTCAACTCCACACCACTGAAATTGGGCAGACTGGCAAACCAAACGCAAAGCAAGTTCGAATTCATCCGGCGAATCTGAAGACGCGCCCAACAAAACCCAACGGGGGCTCCACTTCGCAGCACCCCACAACAACCCCTCCACGCTCCAAACACGCGCACCCAACCCTCCACGCCCGGTCGCCGTCCGCGGCCCAGTCCACGCCCGCCCTAAGGCGTTGGTGGATCCGGAGACACGGGCCGGGGAGCGTGGCGCGAGACGGGGGGATGAGACCGTGGGAGACGTAGGCGGAAGGATGGAGATGGAGCTTGGAGCTGATGGAGATGCTTGAGTCTCTGTTGGATGCGGATGGAAGGAAGTAACATCCAGAAGAAAGGCAACAGAATCGCTCCGGGACAGCTGGGAGTGATGGTTTCGGGTGCGACCGGTCCCAAGAACGAATCAAGAATATTCAAGAATTCTGCGAGTGGAGTTAACCACCCAACCCTGAGTGCATGCACATCATTCATATCTATATATATATATACATCATTCCGAACTTGCTGTTGGATGGGGTCTCTCTTGGACGATGCTTGACCCCTCTTGCGCAGGTCCACCATGTAGCGAACGACCTTCCAGGCAGGTCAACCAAGGCATCAGCCATGTCAGGCTGGATACCGGAGCAGCAAATACTTCGGCGAGAAAGGCCTCGAACTGAGCAGAGATGATGCTGCCGATGATGCGAACGTCGTGACCCGTGGTGACAAAGACACTTCTGGGTGTAGAGGTGGTGTTTCAAGGCTTTGGGTTTCTGGATGAAATGATATCATGTCAAAATGCTTAAAAATGTGTTCGAATGATTTCGACTGAGAGGATTCGCAAAGGTTTGATGATATGTGTGGGGATCTCCTGTAAAACACTGTAAGGACGATTGAACAGTTGGTTGTTGTGCTTTGTTTCGGGTGGGGGCACCCTGCTGTCAACTAGCTGGTTTTAGAAAGACACCCAAGCTGCGCTGCCCCAAAGGCAGCAGGAGAATCACGACAGATTCCGGAGTCAAAGGCATGTTGAGACACTGGTAAGAAGTGACCAGCCGCTAGTGACACCGGAAAACCGAACTTCAGAACTTCTGCAGAACTACCGAACTGACATCCTTTGACAATTAAAGGCTCTTCGAAACGGTGAACCCGCTTCTGAAACGCTCGAACCCACGAACCCCGCCGGGGGTCCACGGCCGACGACTCCGAAGGCGACGACTCCGTGGATCGTCCGGGGAACCGAGCGCGACGCGCGAGCGGGACAGGAGGATCGACGAAGAACGCGAGCGTCGTTGCTTTTTGGTTCATACTTGGGTCCACTTTCAGCCCTCATCATCTTGCGAGCTCTGCTCGTCTTCCCCTTCATCCTCCTCCTCTGGCCCTTCCCCCTCTTCACCATCCGTATGAGCTTTGGAGAGGCGAGAGTTAGTTGAAAGGGAAGCAAGTACTGAAGAGTGGTCCGGCCTGAGGTTGGGCGGTTCTTGAGAAGCACTTCTGATATCGTGGTCAATGGGGGTCATAGAAGATGTGGTCGGCGTAGATGTAGTCTTCCTTTGCACTCTTGCCCCCACTCTCAAGGAAGATGTCCGGTCGACTTTCCCGAACCTGGATTCTGCTCCTTAGCCATGACTTGTGGAAGACACCATCACCAACCACTCAGCAACCGCAGCGTGGTAAATACTTTGCTTTGATAGCTTCAGAACATCCAGAGCAAGACGCAACTTTGTTAATTGAGCACGCGAGCACGCAGTATGTTTCCCCCAGTTGAGTTTGAAGGCGAGCCCTCTAAAGCTGCAGTCAGAAGATGTCATATATGTGTTTGTGATGTTGAATTTGTTCGGAAAAAAACACTCCAACGGCTGCAGCCCACTGCTTACCTTCAAGAAAACTCCAAGCTGCACCCTTGATGACATGAAACATATTGAAACCTCCTCATGAAGTGAGTGATCCACGGTCTCAGTCCGAAGGTGGAGGCAGACGGGTCTCATCACAGCTTTCGTTGGTTTCGCCCGCCATGTGGACGTCCACCGGGCGAGTGGACACTTATTCGACACATGAGATCCGTGACCCTCTGGCGGCGGCCGTGGACCCTGCCAGCGGCGAGGTCTATGTCTTGTTGCGCAGCTTGGGAACCATGTGAGTGAAAAACGATGAACAACGTGTGGTCATGTTTTGCTTGGAAAATGCTAAGGATGTAGCAATGTGTGGCATGTTTTTTTGAGGAAGACTTTGGACCAACGGCTCCTGAAACAGTCTTGAGAAAATGGAGGGTCCAGGATCCACGGAGCAAACCATGGGATCACCGCTCCGCCGATCGAGAGAGGTCCAGTTCAACAAGTTTTTGACTCGAATCACCTGTACATAGTCAGACCATATCCCAGACGCTCCATGTATACCATATATGCCTACATTGGGTGGTTTGGGGGGTCAATGTAGGCATATATTCCATACATGGAGTGTATGGGTATGTAAGAACAGTCTTGGACCCCTCAAGGGGATATTGGACGTCTTTAGCGGTCAGAGGAATTCTCTGAGCTCATCCCCTCTGGTCATGTGCAGACAAAGTCCATCCGTTCCCTGAGGGAATCGCCTCATGCGCATCAGCGACACGGAAGAAGTCTTTGAGGTGCCGGGCGCGGAATCCTTGGAGGCGTTCTTCACCCCAGGAGCAGGCAGGACATGTGAGATCAATATTTTGGGATTGGTGGTCCGCGCTGAACAGAAACCCAGTCCTTGAAAGAAATTCCTTGCTTTCCGCACCGCTTCCGGGTCTTCTGGTAGCGGTCAGCTGGTGTAAAGCAGCGGTTGGTGTACAACGACCGCGCAGGGGGGGGGGTCCTTCCGGTCTCGACGTGGTCCTTCTTCCGGTTTCGTCGGACCTCTGACGTCCTCCACCTGCTGTGACAGCCGGATCGAAGGTCTTTGGGTCGATGAGGTCGACATTGCGCCGCGCTGGTCTCCGAAGGGCATGTGCTGATTGTGGGTGCCAACAAGCTACTCATCGTCAATGGCCACAGCAAAGAGGCGCCAAACAAAAGATGTAGCAGGCGGCAAGCATGTGTAGCAAGATGTAACAAGCTGCTGGAAGCTGCGCCGTGAAAGTTTATTGATTGATTGTTGCTTGTGTCTTGTGTGGCAGTCGCATCCAGAGTTTTTAAAGCAGGATCCAGATGAATCCAGGTGAATGTAGGTGGCGCATGATGTCGGTTTGGTACCAGGCGAGGGCCGTGGAGGACGCCCGATGGCATTTGTGCGCAGCAGATGGCGCCAAGATCCTCCTGGCAGACAAGGACTGGCGAAGCAGATGTGATTGATGGGACAGTTCGACTGGGTTCATCCCGGTAACATATGGTAGCATCTTGGTGCGAATGTCCAGTGATCTTGATTTCTTTTTGGTGACAGAGGTGTGTGGTCCATGTTCACCAGGAGGGCGACCAGTTCTAGAATGTTCTAGATTCTATATAGATTATTCTTTCACTTTTTTTCATTTACCACTAGGTTCTGCCGCACAGCCCCTTCTACTTCAATGGCACTGAGTGCCAGACTGACCCACCACGCTACCTACATCAGACAGGACGGCTCAGTCCATGCAGCTGAGCACCCGCTGTCCCATGCGTCCTTCCCGGGCAGCACCACAGTGATCTGCCAGTGCCCGGGTAGTCACAGCAAGATTGATGCCAACTGTATCGGTCAGGTGAGGTGGGACTGGGGACTGGGGACTTCTTACCTTTTTCTTGTGAAGCGTTGTTGGCAGGTTTTGAGGTGAGCACTCACCAAGTGCAATTATAGCGAGAAAGATGAGAAAGAATGATTTATGATGTATTTACAGATCTCAAGAATCAACATGGGCGCATACTCTGTGATATAGAGATTGGAAGAGTGTCAGGGTTGCGCGCTTGACCGGGGAAATGGGTGAACCCTAGCTGCGAGGCTGCTAGGTAGCAAAGTGGCTGCCACCGCAACCCGAGCTTGAGCTTGCTGGTTGGGAGCAACTCTTGAGCTTGAGCTTCATGGGAACCATGAGTATTTTTCGCGCGCGACTTGCTTTGTCCCAGCATGTCGCCCCAAAATCCTCTCAGTGGCTGGACTGTCCTTCACATGTCCCAAGAAAAATTGTTTCTTGTAGTCGCTTCTTGTTCCTAGTAGTAAGGCCAGGAGCGCCCCGTTCGTAGCGTCCTTGTTCCAACGTGGCTCCCACGTGCTCTTCGACCAACCGCCTCGCCTCTTCGACCAATCGCAGGTGGAGGATTTCGTGCAGCAGAACCGCGTGATGCGGCCGCGCGATTCTGGCTCCGTGATCGCGGCCTTGGCGGCGGGAAACGGCCAGGTCTTTCTTTGCACCTCGGCGGTCAAGAGTCAGGGGGTGAAGACCTGGGACATCCAAGCGGTCGGGATCCTTCGAGTTAAATGGTATGTCATGTCCATTTGGGTGGGCAATTGGACGGTCCATGTGTGTATAGAAACGATGGATCAACTCGTGAGCATACAGTACTCATTCCGTCGTTCTTCCCGCCACGTCATCTCGAAAGCCGCGGCGACATCGGCGGAACAGGTAAAGGCCACGGCTTGATGGTGGCCGGCGACAGCGGGTCGCTGGAAGCCCGGCAGGGTTGATCTCGGGGCTCCGAAGGGGAACCGTTGCTATTTGGTTCCAGCCCTTTAGGTGATTCTGCGGGTAATCCATGGTGGTGGGTGCGAAATCATGGGCCAACATGGGCCTGTGGTGGGAGTGAGCCTGTGGTGGGCGTGCATTCTGCCTTGGGCTTGGCACAGCATCCCCCCAGAAGTTGGCGCCAAGAGCCGAAAAGTCTTCGCCTCGCCTCGCTAAGTAGACGTGGGAAGCTGGCTTTTTTTTGCCGCGGAAGTGGTTTGATGTGGTTGGGCCATTTAACAAGTCAGACCGAATAAGAGCAAGGAAGGATGCCATCCATTTCTTTGATGAGCCTAAGATTTGGGATTTGGATGGATTTGGTGCTCATAGGTTTGAAGAAAAGCCTCCCACTTAATCCAGGTGGACGAAGCAGTCCTTTGCGTCCTTGACGCCCCGTTGCGTCATCACTCCGACACACATCACAAGGAAGTGGAAACCATGGTCCTCCAAGTATACACCCCTTTCCTTTGAAATCAGGGGAGGTGAACAGTTGCCCATTGCCACGTTCCACCTTGAGTCAGTGTAGACTTTCCCACGAGCTCATCGCATGAAGCAGCTTCACTCATCGCAGTCGCATCATCGCTGCATCCGACGGTCTCGTCAGCTCAGGAAGAGGTTCTCAAGGATGAACGGTCTTCGAAGTCCTTGGCGTTCCCTTCTGCTTTGTATTTGGTGGGGAGCACGCTCTTCTCACAATGCGCCACTTAGGCTGCAGGACGGACAGGCTAATTTAGTTATGGATCATTGTAATTCATATTATGTAGATACTTCATATATATAATCAGATACTTCATTTGTACGAAAGCGGCCGTCCCGAGGGTAAGGAGCACTTCCTTGGACATTCCTTGGCACTTTCTGGGAGCAGACCGGGCGGTCGTGAGTTTGTTGGGTGATGTGGCATTGGGTGATGACGGTGATGATCATGTACAGTAGACCATTGATTAATGACCTCCCCATACCTCCCCATTTGAATTGGAAAATCCTCTTCATTTGGGCGGCTTATGAATCAAGAGTCTAACGGGGCGAGAAAGAACACCTGAGTGAGTTCCAATGGGGGAGAAAACCCAAGAACAGGTGTGGGCTCATGAATTCAGCACACCATGAAGAAAGAGTAGTTCTTCATATATAGTTCTTCCGAAGGTCAGCCAGTTGACTGAAAGTGCAAAGGGTTGCCAGTTTGTGGGGCCAATGACCTAAGACTCTGGTGACTCAATGAGATGCGCAATCGGTGACGTGGAAGGCAGTTCATGTTCGGTTTGCTGACAAGTGATGGTTTCGGAGATTTCTATGTTCAACCTTTACATGGGATTCAACCCACTGACTAGCGTTCTTTTTCAAGTGAGTCGAATCCACCAACCAGTTTGCTGTTGTCTCGTGCTGCTTCACCTTGCATCTCATCACGAAAGAGAAGAAGTGACAAGCCAATTGAGGGGTCAGTATACTTTACATTAATATCACAAACCAGCATAAACTATTATACAAAACAGCACAAACCAGCATAAACTATTTACATTAATATCACAAACCGCACGACGCAATAACGACCTGATTCTCAACAGCAGTTTGTCCTGTTCCTTGCAGAGATTAATGGCGCGGCCAAATTCACGTTTGAGGTATGTATTGCTACAGGCTTACAAGATCTTGGAGGCAGAAGTCCGGGAGAAAGACAAATTGAAGGAGTTCTTGAGCGTCCTAAGGAAGCCAACTGGACCCTGCCCGGAGCATTTTCTCGATCACATGCTCAGAGGCGCAAAGGGTGCGAAGCACTTTCCAGATGTGGACCTTGATGATCCCCGACAGCTTGCCGACATCTTCCACAGCTTCTTCCGACGTTTCCTGGACAATATCCCTCCCATTGAGAAAGGTCGCAGCTGGCATTACCTGGGCAAGTTCTCCAAGGGGCCAATGAAAGGCAAAGTGTTTTCTTTCAGGACAGACAAAGGTAAGGGTGTATTGATAAACGGGTTTGAACTGGTGGATAAAGACCACTGGGCGTATACTCATTTGGACGTGGACATCAATAACCTGAAGCGTTACTGTCACAGAGCTTCTGATGCCCTGCTGCCTGGTCGAATCGGTGGAGGGTTTGGTGCTGGATTAGGCGGCTATTGTGCTGAGCAATTGTACCACAGGATCTGTGCTGACTTTGATCATCAGATCAGCCAAATTGAAGCGGTTTCCATGCAGATCGGGAGAGCTGCATCAATTCCAGTTGGCATCACGGTGGGCGGAAATGTGGCAACATACTTTGCAGGCTTGCAGAGTGTCTCCATGCTTGGCCCAGTGAAGTTTCAAATGTGTGCTTTGCTTGCGGGTAGCGGAGCTGGATTTTTGGTCGGTGCTGCCATCACCGGTGGATCAGCTGTGGTTGGTTTAACTGTGGACACAATGTGGCGAGAGACTGCAGAATGCTTAAAGTTGGCACAGGCGGCAAAGGAACGCTGTGTGCAACTCCAAGGGCATGTTCAGACAATCCAGCAAGACATGACGTTGAGGTTGAACGCCATCGCTTCTGACATTGATTCAGTGGAGCGCATGGTTTGCAATGCGCAGCAAACCCTCAAAGCTGGCATGAAATCTGAAGAGGAGATTCTGCAGTGGATCGGTGTTGGTCAGGCAGGAAAACTTGTACTGCAGCACATTCTTTTGGCCATAGAAAAACTTGAGGAGGACATCTACAAGCACCTTCAGTGCCTGAGGGATGAGCATGCTAAAACTGAGCAAGACTTGAGAGCAGCAGTGAGACGTCAGGAAAATGATGACAACCCGCCAACACTTGTTGCTTTCCTGTGGTCAGCTCCCCTTTGCCTCTTCGGGCCCGTGGGGATGTGTGCTACGGCATTGTTCACTGGCCTTTCCGCCGCACGAAAATATAGCCTTCAGAACGCAATTGATTACCACGTGCGCACCTGTGCCTTGTTGCAAGAGGCTATGAAGCAGCTCAAAAGCGCCACCGGCACATGTGCCAAGAATCGCAGGACATGTTGCGATTTGATTGAGAAGATTGAGTATGCCCTCGACCGTTGGTATGCCAGGCTCCACCGGGTGACTGGGGCAAGATTGAATGATACGCGGTTTTGGTTGTACCTCATTTCGGTCTTTGTCTTGGCGTGTGCATTCTCACACTCTTGGCTCTCTTCTTGTCTCTGGTCATTACTACTGTGGTGGCCTTCGTTTTCTGTTCATGTCCAATGGCATCCAGCAGCTTGCTGGAGGTTTGTCCTTGTTTTTTCTTCTTCGTTACATTCCGTTTGTTTGCGTTGACAAATTCAGCGACCACCCAATAGTTTCATGGCTAGCATCCCTGTTTGCAACTCTGTTTGCAATATACTTTTTGTGGCCTTGCATCCCAGTTCCAATGACATGTTGCAAGTGGTGGAAATACCCAAGAGCTCCGATGCGTCGTCAAGTTTGCTTGGTTGTGGCAGGCCTCCTGGCAGGCCTCCTCTCGCTGGTGCGCTCAGAAAACCAGCAACCCATGATTCATCCCTTGCTTGCTTTTTCAGTGCCATTGTTTTCTCTTTGGCCTTACTGCTCACTTCACATGTGGTTGAACTGGGAATCTCTTTGGCATTTGTTTTCTCATTTGCTCGTAGGTTTGATACTGTGCTGGATCCTGCCCAAAAGTTTCGTTGATGTGTGGCTTTGTTTCGTTTGTACATCGGCTTTTGCCCCCCAGACGGCAAGACGCAAAATTTGAGGAAAGCTGGTTTGTCCGAAATATCATCCCAGCCTACTAGATTAGATTTGATCAAAAGCCAAAGCAGACCGCCACGTCATCGCATTTCACTCAAGGCATCGGCTATGAACTTGAGGAAAAATGTGCTGAGAACGCTGGGTTTTCTCCTTCGGTTGACATGGGAAGATTTGGGCATGTAGATTGCCAAATCGCCAGGCATGCTGCGACTTCGGGGCCTTCCTGAGCGGCTAAGGGGTTCCAGGAGGATACAGGAAGTATCAGGAGGTTGTGGTCATCAGGAGTGTTATTTCATTGTTTTGGTGACATTTGGGGACCTATTGTAGACTATTTCTGTATCATACACGCATTTTTTCGACAACAACTGCAGAATGAAATCCGATTGAATGACCGCCTGACGAACCCGCCGAGCACCTTCGAAAGGCTTGGAAGTGCAATTCCTGACAGTCCACGACTCAAATTCACTACCCCGGCCTGGGGATTAGGTGGAAGAAACTATATTGACTAACACGCAAACTGACCACACAAAGCCACCCCTTCCACCCAAACGGACTATATTGACTATAAATTGACTATATTGACTGACTCCTTAGGTGGGATCACCACCAATCCGACCCCTCCGCCCTGCGCTACAAAGACGAACCAACTCGCAGCGATTCGCCCCACCGAGCGGCGGGGCACGGCTGGGCCACCGAGGCCGACGGTCTCCGAACGGTGGAGCCTGCTGTTGGTGGAGCGGTCGCGCTGGCGCTGACGGCTGGAGAGATGGTGTTGGAGGGCGATCCTGGCTCTCCGGAGCCGAATCCCAAGGATTTCATTGGTGCCTGGGACTGGGACAAATGATGGATATGATGGCTCCAGTGGGCTGATG